TTAGGATTTATCTTGATTTTTAAACTATGATGAACACAAACACAAGGTAATAAGACCAAATCCAAATAAATAGTGTGTGACGTTTCGGTAACAGTGTTGTAACTGAAACATCACACACTATTTATTTATTTGGATTTGGTTTTATTACCTTGTGTTTATAATCTACAATCCAAATTGTACCTTATCTATGATGAACACACTTCATGCTGGAGCATATCAGGCCAAATGAATGTGAACAATTGGAAAGAGAGAAATATAAAAAGAGCAATCTTAAAGAGTTAATAATGATAAAAATTTTCAAAATGTAAGCCTCCGATAGCCTGTTGAAGAATGAGACACTTAAAAGCTTTGCGACAATTTTAAATAATGAATATCACCTCTTTAAATTAAAGATTATCTGTTATTGTTCAAATTTGTGAGCCACGTTATCAATTTGTATATTTTCCTTTTTTTCATTACTAAATGCAGAAAAAACTTGTCTAGACTGAAGCCTTGTTACAACTCTAGTTCAACTTACTACAAATCAACACTTACTTTAATTCAACAGTCTTTCATATCCCAATAAGACACCATTCTTTAATATAACCAAATAAAATTTAAAACCAACTTTAATCCAACCTAAAATTCTGATCCCTTGGGATGTTGAATTAAAGAAGTTTGCCTGTATACAGCAAATCTTCTTCTTTCTTATCTCAAAGCCATGATAATCATGGTGGGTAGTTAACGACTGCTTTTACTGTAAGCGCACCACATGTCACATGTGGAACTTCGTTCGACTTTGCACTTACAAATGTGCCAGAGCCCCGTTTGGTTACTTGCACTCGCTGGTGGGGTTGGACTTTTGCAAGAATCAGGGGCCATTGGAGCATTTTTTTTTTTTAACAGAAAAAAGTGTCCAATGCGGGAATCGAACCCGGGTCATAGTGGTCGAAAACCAAACAGTTTAACCAGCCTTCCACCGACCCCCCCTATACAGCAAATAAAAACATTAAGACGTAGATGTTTCTTTCACACATAAATCCAACTTCAACTGTCCTTACTGCGACAAATTTGCTGTATATGGTGAGTGTTATTGCTTTATATTAATTTATGCTTAACTGGCCTTGTCCTTATTGTTTGCGGAAGAGCATTGCTCGATGCAAATATTATATGTAATTCTACTGTCCTAAAAGTATAGGTCCATAGCTTACTTAAATACCATTTCTGAGATTCCACCCTTCAGTGTAACATATATAATCAGAATGATCCAATACAGTATTAGAGCTCTAAAGAAGCGGTCTGGTAGGTTAAATTGGCGAAACTGCTGCGAGGGTTCACCACTGATGAGCCAAGCCCTCTTAATATATTTTTTCGCTGCAGTAAGGACAGTAGAAGTTTGATTGAAGTGTGAAAGAAACATTCGCATCTTAATGTTTTCATTTGCTGTATATAGTTGGCGTGTTATTGCTTTCTATTAATTTTTGTCTGTATATGCATGGAAAAAAAAAGAAAATGGACAAGTTCGAAACTTGCTGAAACATCACTTGGGACCAAGATTTATGTTGTTATAAACAAGTTATTTTTGTTATGATAAGGCACAATTTGGATTATAGATTATAAACACAAGGTAATAAATTAATACAAAGCGATAACGCGCCATCTATACATATAAAATGAAAGGATTAAAAGCACAAAGTTTGTATTATGTATAAAAGAAACATTTGTGCTTTTAAATCCTCTCATTTTACAAGGTAATAAGACCAAATCCAAATAAATAAATAGTGTGTGACGTTTCGGTAACAGCGTTGTTAGTACTTTTGTTTGATGATGGTAACAACGCTGTTACCGAAACGTCACACACTATTTATTTGAATTTGGTCTTATTACCTTGTGTTTATTGTTGTTATAAAACCATGGTTAAAACCATTGTGACTTAAAACTTGGGATCTCAGAATAACCTAGTTGCTGTTATAATAGGATTCCATTGTAATGGTCGTAAATTTCTCCCTTATTGCCACCTCGTGTTAAGCAGGCAACTGTCAAATGCAGAAACATCAATGGGAGCGTAAGATTCAGTTTTATATTGGTCGTCTACATCCCCTATCTCCTCAATATCTTCTTTAACCAGTATAAACACAAGGTAATGAATGTAACATGCTTTGTATTTATTGATGTAAAATATTAACTTCAAGTGTCGTTTTACAATATTTAATTATTCTTCCATTTTTCTTTAAAGTTAGGCAGTCGGCAACACTGTACTTTCTTTATCAAAATTAGAAACTATTATAGACGCGTAAGATTCTTTTTGAAATTAAACAATTTCTACTGCCCTTACTGCAATGAAAAAATTAATGGGAGGGCCTGGCTCATCAGTGGTGAACCCTCCCAGAGACCCTCCTATTAATTTTTTCATTGCAGTAAGGGCAGTAGGAATTGTTTAATTTCAAAAAGAATATTATGCGTCTTAAATAGTTTCTAATTTTGATAACAGATGGCGCGCTAGTGCATCATAATATAAAAACTACTTTCTTTCGTTCTTCCTCTAATTTTGCATAAGTTTTGTTGTTTATATAGTGTGGTTATCCTTGTTGTAATAAAATTACATATTAAAACACTATCCCTTATTTCTAAATAGGAAATGTTACAGGTAATAAGACCAAATCCAAATGAATAAATAGTGTATAACATTTCATTGTTACCATCTTCAGACTGAATGATTCTCCCTAACTTTAATCACAAACCTGTATTTGAAGGGGGTCGGTGGAGGAGTAATATAAACAGTCTTATCTTCAACAGACATGACCCGGGATCAAATCCAATATTGGGCACTTTTTTTTTTCTGAATAAAAAATTGCTTCAATGGTCACCCGTTTCTTCCGAAAATCCAACCCCACCAGTGAATGCAAGTAACTACAGTAAAACCCCGCTAATACGAACCCTGGATATAGCGAACCTTCCCTTATAACGAACCCACGGCGATTCCCGATTCCATTCCATTGAAAATACCATCGTTATAACGAACTTTGCGATTTTTAAAATAACGAACTACCCCTATAACGAACCTATTTTCGGTCCCAAAATGATAAAATCTATTTAAAATACTATGCTTATAACGAACTTAAAATTGTGATTAAAAAAAAATTAAAACAACAAAATTTTGGGCATGTTTCAGCTCACGGATCGCGATTTTAAAACAAAAAAATAGCGGCATTGTTTGTTTTCATTTCCATTCTATTTTTTGCTGTATGTTGTATAAATTTTTACACATTATACTTTTATTTAATAGAATATCTTTGCAATCGACAATTTTGAAATAGAAGAAAAATACAAATGGCTTCCAAAATAAAAATAAAAAAGAAACAAAGAGTGACGTTCTAAAAACAAACAAACAGTGGCAGCATGCCCTTTTAGAAGCGTTCTATATCAAGTTTAACCTAGGCAAAAAAATAATTCCAAATAATTTAAAGCCAGAAATGGTTTGAATAACAGGTTAAAAACAAAATTTAACATACACTTCAGAATAATATGTAAAAACTGGAATTGGAAGAAGAAGAAAAAAACAGTTCCCCCAAGTTCCCCGTGTCTCATGGGCTACAAACAAATCGACTTATAAATTCTCAAAAACTACCACTACAGTTCTATTTTTAGAATGGAATTCTTGTTAGGTATATGACTCATTCAGGGTTCGCGGATATTCCCCCTGGCCGGCCGTTTTATCGCCGATTTTGTGTTTGAAAATTGACGTTTTTTATTCGCAATTTTACCGATCGCGCTATCGTATCAACATGTTTCGCGTCCGATTTTTCTGAATTGGATACTTTTGATTCATCCTCAATTGATTCAGAATACACGGAGCTTTATTCCTTTGTTGGAAATAACGATATTTTAAGACAATTCCGATTTTCAAATTTCACTTTCAAACAACAATGTATTAGAGGATTTTTTTTTTCAAATAAATATAGTATTATATTATTTGAGAAAGATATGTTCTAAAATACTCTTATACCTTTTAAATATATAATTAATAATGTTTTGCCTAGGGGATTTGGCTTAATTTTTAAATAATACATAGGTTTATATATAAACATGCACGCTAATGATAAGAAGAACCTATTATCAAATGACTTCTTTTGATATTCAGCATTACTGTAAAAAAAAAAATAGGTCAATTTAGGGAATTAAAACAAAGTGACCATTATTAAGTGGCTTCCTTTTCCTGTTTGTATGACTTTTTTTTAATTATACGGTCTAAAAATTTAGAAAAGTTTTAAAAAATGGCCAAACCGTGGCTATAGTGAACCGTGGCTATAGTGAACCAAAAGCTCTGTCCCATTGGGGTTCACTATAGAGGGGTTTTACTGTAAATGGGGCTCTGGCACACTTGGCACACCATGATAATCATGGTGGGTAGAAGTAGGCGACTGCTTTTACTGTAAGTGCACCACATGTCTACACATGTGAAAAGCAGTTCGACTTTGCCCTTACAAATGTGCCAGTGCCCCGTTTGATTACTTGCACTCGCTTGTGGGGTTGGACTTTTGCAAGAATCGAGGGCCATTGGGGCATTTTTTTTTTAAACAGAAAAAAGCGTCCAATGCGGGAATTGAACCAGGGTAGTAGCGGTCGAAAACCAACGGTTTAGACCATCCTTCCACCGACCCCCTATATTATAGTTGAAATCAAAAAATAACACAAAACCAATTAGATAAATTAAATTTACTGTTTGTGTGATAGAATTGTCAGTATTGGAAGCAGAAAAAAATGTATATAGTAAATAAATTGATTTTTTTTTTGCTTATCCTTAGCACACGTGGTACAGGCCATGATAATCATTGTGGGTAGAAGTAGGCGACTGCTTTTACTGTAAGTACACCACATGTCTATGCATGTGAAAAGCCGTTCGACTTTTGCACTTAAAAATGTGCCAGAGCCCTGTTTGGTTACTTGCACTCACTGCTGGGGTTGGACTTTTGCAAGAATCAGGGGCCATTGGAGCATTTTTTTTTTTTATCAGAAAAAAGTGTCCAATGCGGGAATCAAACCCGCGTCGTAATGGTAGAAAACCAACGGTTTAGACCATTCATCCAGCGACCCCCTTAAAAATATATATTTATATTTTAAATTGATAAATCTGACTAATGGATAGTTTCTAAAGTTACAAGAAAATAAGACCTAATCCAAATAATTTAATAGTGAGTGACGTTTCAGTAACAACATTGTTACCATTATCAGTCTAAAGAATAAATATAAAATGAAAAGATTTAAAAGCATGAATGTTTATTTTATACACAATCCAAACTTCTACTGTCCTTACTGCAATGAAAAAATTATATTTGTATTATGTATAAAAGAAACATTCGTGCTTTTAAATACTTTCATTTTATATATATAGATGGCGTGTTATTGCTTTGTGTTAAAATAATCTATAATCCAAATTGCACTTTATCAGTTTCTCAAGTTCTTTGGATTTTAACTGAGCCAAACAATTTTTTTAATATAACTTTTATTAATGTGAAGATGATTTAAACATATAAAAAATTGAGCTGTATAACCAGAGAGAATTGAAAATATTTTAAATATTTTGATTAAAAGAATCTTGACTTCTTGTTGAGATTTATTGCTCAATATTAGAGAGAGAGGTAGTTATATATAATAGAATTTTAAATATATATGTGGTGTGAAAAAGGCTGAGGTGTATTTTTATTATTAAAATATTAATCGTAAAATAAAAATAATATAAACCTTTATAATAACGTATAGAATCAATAAGGATAAGTTTCTTTATTTGTAAAATCAAAATTGATTTTACAAATAAAGAAACTTATCCTTATTGATTCTATACGTTATTATAATATATTGAAAGGATTAATCGTCTTAAATATAAACCTTTCTTAAAATCCGAGTTTTTTTTTAATTATGTGTATATTTATTTTTGAAAAAGAATTTATTGGATACACAAAGAGGCTGTCATAAAGCTCAAAAGGGTTATTTAAATATTGTTTATGTTTTAGCGAAACAGAAATAATAATTTATTGTTACCTTTGATATATCCAAGTTGGTTCAATTATTGTATGATTGGTATAAATGTCTTTTGGAATTTTAAACTCTAAACTATATATATGGAATTAATTAGGAAAGAAAAGTTCAAAGCGCATTTGTTTAATAATTAGGATCGTTTTAATTTGACATTTATATAAATAAGGATATTCTACTATTTAAATGTCACTCAAAGCAGTAAGTACAGCGGAGACACTTTCCTGGAAAAAATAGAAAATAAATAATGTAAACATTTAAAAGATTTTTATTGATAGAGCCTAACTTAAAGTAATTTAGAAATAAAAAATTAATAAACGTCAGAATAACGATAGAATTTATTTCGAAATATCATAAATACACTTACGGTTATAAATAAATATCTGAAAAGGGGGCAAACATTTATTGAAATCTAATTACGAAAGTTTTAGAAAGGGTATAGGTGGAAAAAATTGTATCACGTGATTAGTACGCCAATTTCCCGAGAGAGGGCACCACATAGTCTAGAAACCTGCCTCTTGGATCAGGTTGCCAAGCCGCGAGTTTTGACACACATTGAGCGCCCAAATTTAGAGCCTCGGAAAGGGGGTGCATAAAATAGCATTTAGGTGTACGACGACTGCTAGAACAGGGGCTCCTTTTTGTTATCATTATTTAATTTGAAGGTCGAATCTCTGTTTTTTCGAAGTTCTGTTTGGAGGTTTGTGTACTGCCGGTGCTCAAATATTTTCGGCTTATTTAGGTGTTTTTGTTTATTTATTTTTTAATATTTTTGGTTGTTTTTTTTTTTAGGATTTTGTATTTATTAATTTTTGCATCGTTTCTACTATAGGGATTTATACGAAGATATCAACTGCGGATCAATTTTAGGTAGGTACTGACTTGTTTTAATTAGAATAATGATGCATGATCTCGTTTAATTTTTAATATTAGCTATTTAAAAAGTTGTACACACAAAAAAAAATTGATGAAAATGAAAGTGTGAAAGTTATATGAACAGAAGACCTATATATGTATGAAATAGGAGAAGTAGAAATATGAAGATTTGCATAATTTTCTCAGATAAATTATCATTCACACATAATCATATGAACGACCTTGAAAATTTTTATTTGTTGCATGTGAAATGTTATGTTCTCTACAACCATTCAATGTTCATTTTCATAATATATAATATCTTTTATAGCCTATGTTTTTATACACAATTTAGTTATATTCAAATAAATTCTTCTAAACTACATTGATTGTTTTGGTTTGATTTATACTTTAAATCTTTGGCTCTTTCTCTTTATGTAATTTTATATTAAAACTCTCTGGGTTGCGAAATATGTAAATCTCTTTAAGCAAGTTGAATATATAATTATCGAAAAAAAAAACGAATTCGGCAACAGTGATATAAATAAGTTTATGATAAACAAGAGTTAAAGTGCTTAATTTTATGTAATGTCTTAAATATTATATAAATAAATATAAAAATATAGAGGTAAACAATAATCAAAAGATATAAAGTGTAGGGTTCTTTTGTACAATAAAAAAGAAGTATTATATATAAACGTAGGGTACAATAAAACTATTTATGAGGAAAATATGTATTTATTTTATTCAATTATTGTTTGAGACTCAAGATAAGTTTGTCGCTTATATTTCACAACATCTCAAAGTGTCTATCTCACTTGAGACATATCGGCACCCGCAGACGAATTTTTAGTTATAATCAATAAAAAAATGTGATTAATTGACGAGTTTCTACAATTCTGGTGAAACTGTTAATTTACTAAGGTAAACAAAGGAATCTCCAAATGAATTTTTAAATAAGGATTCTAAAATATCGTTTTTGGTCAATTTTGACGTGTAAAGAATAAATTTATTTTAAAAGATTTTTAATGTTTTAAAACTAATATTTGATCTCTGAGGTAGACACTTTCAGCGATTTTAGCCAACACTCACACATGTGAAGCTTCTTATTTTTATTTTAATAAGATGGATATATAAAAAAAATAAACAAATATTTTTCTTGCTTTATTTCATATTAAGCTTTCGGATATTACAAACCCATCTACAGGAGTGTATGACAAAAATAAGAATATATACAGAAAATATCTCTCTCTCTAAAGATATAATTTGAAAATTTATAATTTATCTTTTCAATTTTTGGTCAAAATATTTTATTTTAAAATAAAGATGAAAAAAGCAGTGACTCCAATACTTCAAAATTATTATAGAGTTAATGAAATTCAAACACATATTTTACGCTATTTAACCCTAATTTTATACTAAAATTTAAATGAAAAATTTGAAAAAGATGGCCTTATACACCCATTGATGAGTGTTTCTAGAGGTTTAGCAGCTTAATCTCCATAACGCTCTATTGTATTGGCTTATTTAGAGTATTTAGTGTATATATTTTCTGCAAAATTACGGAACTTGTTTTTCTTTGTAATAAATTACCAGATAGCTCTAAATAATTTTATCTTTCAGAGAGAGATTGAGATTGAAACCTCTTTATTACATAGTTCATATAAGGTTATATAAGGTTAATAAAAAATTGAGAGAGAGAGAGAGAGCTCTGAAGGAACCTATATATATTATATACTTATATATTATATATCACACACACACACACACACACACAAAAGCCTTTATTAAGACACACAGGTCTTACAGAGGATTCTCCTTGGGGTTACAAAACGGAGAAACCTATGAAAGTGGGAAATAAAAAATGGAGAAAGATTATATACATTTGGTAAATATATACAGATTATAAGAAAGAATAAAAAATAAGAAGAATAAAAAAAATCAAAAAAAGAGAAAAAAAAAAAAAATTTTTGGAAATATGGATGGGAGAAGTGGAGAGCGAAAAGAGGAAAGAAAACAGGTATTTACATATGGAGCAAGACCATTTAAGCTCTCACACAGCACAGGTGGGCCATGTATTTTTTAAGGAATCTTTAAGAGATTTCCCAGGAAATCCTCGTGTTCAGGGTTGTAAGGTAAACACCGTTTTATCATTGTTAACTTATCGTATCTGCCTAAACAAATAATTGGATGTTGGTTCTGTCTTTCTTATCAAACATAAATTTTTGGTATGTTTGAATGTTCGGTTAAGTCTTTCTTTTTTACAGCATTTTTATGGAAGTTATATAGATTTAGAGCTACTGAACTATTGTCTATAAAGTTGGATAATAAAGAATATAATGTGAAGTGTGTATGGCCTATCTTAGAGAAGAGTATTTTTCTTTCCGTGTCAAGAGGCATGCATTCAAATATATAATGTTCTAATTCATTTTCGGTTCTATTTTTGCATAGTTGGCAATACAAGTCTTCTGTCCTTAGATATTTTATATGGTCTTCTCGATATAAAACAAATAGAATTCTCAATTGCGCAATGAGGCGTTTAGCCGGCAGTGGGAGTTCACTTAGTAGATAGTTCTCTGCTGCGAATGTTTTATGTAAATATTTGTAGTGTGTGTGTAGCTTCGAATTGGTTATTCTTGATTGGTCGGTTTGGATAGACTGTTCTATAGTGATTCTGATAATTTGAGGTATTGCTTTCTGTAGAATATTGGGGTCTGAACAATTCTTTAACCACATGAATCCAGTTGAGTTTAGGATATTCATTAAATTTTCTGTAAAACCTATAAAGGCATTCGTCAGAGTGGACGTTTCCCATAATTGGGCTAGACAGATTGCGGGCAATCTGGATTTTTCCATTTTTAATATTCTTAACCAGAACTTTAGAATTAGTTTGGTTGCTGTGACTCCTAGTGAGAAGCGTCCGGTTTCCATGCGTAGTATGTAGCCTGGTGTGTTACTCGGCAAGTTCAATAGTCGTCGGAGATAGTTATTCTGAATTTGGTCCAAGATTTTGTACTTTTCGTTTGCCCAAATTGGAGCAGATATATTATATATCAACTACTTAGCCTTTCGCATATGCACATGAGACAGTGAATTAGAGCATATTTAAAACCGGAATGGTAAACCTGTTTGACAATTACATAAAACTTCAAACATAAAAAGAATGTTATTTTTAAGTTAAGAAAACTATAATAAAATTTAATA